CGCAATCTTATCATGCATGTTTTATCTTTGCAATTTGGCTCACTTATAGGAAGTATCGGTTGTCCGCGCCCTTCCCACGTGACTGATCCCTCTGCAAAGGCTCAACGCAGAATACGGGAAAGGCAAGTCATTGTGCTTGTTAATAGACGGCAGGCCTGAGAATCTTGACTCGAACAGCTCGCGGCTCAGGTGGTTGTAACCTCTTGCTAGAATTTCTGCCTCGTGAAATGTAACCGGAGCCGGCAATCGAGAATTTGATATGTCAGGCCATCTTCTCGTTTTGAACTGCTGCCTAACAGTAGCCTGCTCGTTTCTATCGGCGAGCTTTTGACTGGGTAGGAAGCCTAATTACAGAAGCTTAGGTGAAGAGGAGCAAATTCTGTGGAGTCTAGCAGGAACAGTTCTAGTGAGAGCTAGTTGCTGTCTCACCACCCGAAGTATCCCCAAATAACAAGTCTGCGAACTTGAACTCGATTGAACTCGAACAACTTGAATGCTCAAAAAGCTGTACACTGGCGCCGCGTACGATAGCCAGCCGTGCAGGTGCAAAAGTGGGGATGTGACAAGTTAAAGCTGTGTAATGAGTAATCAATTGGCTGCCGCCAACCAAATGAGGCAGGAGTACCGATTAACTACAAGTGTAAACGTGATGAGTTGAGTTGAGCATGCAAAAGGACAATAGTGCATAGCGAGCGAAGCTCAGCGCACGGAAAACAGCATTCGCCAGTGCAGTTGCTCTGGGCGACGGATTCCTACAGTTCCATGACGACAATAGGCTGGGAGTCCTATTTATGTTTTGCAACTCGCAAAACAACAAGGCATTCCAAAAATGCGAGTAAAAGTGCTCAGAATACCGAAGCACTGCGGAAAGCCATTTAGTGCCCAAATTAGTTGGCAATGGCTGCTTTGGACCGGTTTTTACAAAACCTGATGCATCAGACTAATCAGAGCCAGGCCGTGTAACCTGAGACAGTATTGGCTGACTAAGTAAAACGCCACCAGAGTAAGGAAAGCGCTTTAAAAGCTTAAAAGAGTTACTGGGTTGGACTCGTGTGATGGAAACCGCAACATGACATTTTCAGACTTGCCGTGCATGGCAAGGTCACCAGTGATGATGGTTTTCGAAACTGTGACTGAGAAGCCATTCAGCTTTGCCGTCCGGAATGTAAAGACTTCCCGCGTCTGAAATAGTCAGTGTGAACGCGTCCCCAAAGGTTTCAGGCCTTTATAATTCATTTTACTGTCAAAATCATGTACAGAACCCGCAGGGCATGATCCACCCTTCCGAACTTTTCGTCCCCGTTATTTTACTCTTGCATCGACGTCTTCATACCCTCCATCTCGTAACTATACTTTGTTCTCTCCATTATATGCTTCGATATTTTGTTGACGTTAATTTAGCTCCTGATTGGTTAAAGCGCGTCAACACGTTTTTAGACAACGAAAGAGGACACAGTGTCGCCCCTGTTTTTGTCTTGACAAATAGAAACCGTTGATTGAAACTAGTACATCCACTAAGAATTAAGCTTTGCTTGCTAGAAAATAACCAAGCTAAGACTTCCAGACAACTGTTAAGGACGCGCTGCTTATCATTTTGAAGATAAGCTGACTTCTGCGGAGACTAACAGAATGATGCTTCTGCGAGTCTTAACTCTCTCTCTCTCTCTCTCTCTCTATCCTTGGGGGAGACGAAAAGATGTGTTGGGCATGTACAGAGCATTGTCCAACGAACACGGAAACACTGGTGATAGCACAGACTCATAAGTCTGTGCTATCAACAGTGTCTGCCTTGGCTCCTTCTTAGACACTATAGTGCCAAGCCTGGTGTCAGAAATCTTGGCTTTTGTTCATAAATTTGCGAAAATTT